TGGAAATTGCCACGCACACAGGCATGCATCGCGATAGGCAAACCGTCCAAAAGAACCAAAGCCACAGACGCCGTGTGCACTGACCCAACACACCGTTCCCCGCAGCCACGGATTTCCACCTGTCGGAGAACAAAGTGCCTTTTCCTCACGAGTGTCTTCGGCGCTTAGGGAGCGCGGCTTTTCCCACGGTCAATAAAGAAAAGATCTGCGTGAGGTGGTTTTTGCGCCACGGCGTGCATGATTCCAATGCTGTCAAAGCACCCCCCACGACCCGCCGTGCCAATAGTCTCCTTCAATGTAATTCGGACGCACGCAGTAATGTTGCTGATCCACGGCGCCCTAAAAACGCGGTTGGCAAAGCGCGTGACGACGATATTTTGCACCATCTCCTTCCCCAGGCGGTAGCCAAAGCGGAACAACTGGCTCTCGTCGAAAAGCGGCTCAAGCTGCCTAGAGGGCTGCTGGGAGGTCCCCGTGTCCTTTCCAAAGGGCTTCTCAACGATGAGACGCACCCAGCCCGGACCGGGGCCGCTGCATCGCCCCTTTGTGGATGCCTCTGCACGCGTCCGCGAAGACGGCGGGTGGCAGGGCCAGGTAGAAGAGACTGTTTCCGCCCTGCTCCGGCCCTTTGAAGGAGTGCTCCATCTGGCATACCTTCTCATTCAGACGTGCAAAGGCTTCGGCACGGTCGTGGGACGCAGACACATGACTGATTCTCTTCAAAAAGGCATCCACGTAACAGCAAAGTTCATACAACACTGAGAAGCAACTCGCAAGCGTTGTTCTTTTCCACTTGTCCACATCCTCAAGCTTGGAACGAGCACAGCCGAGAAGGTTGACGTGCAGGGGCAGCGCACCGCTGCAGTACAACAGAAAAAAAAGGAGCTGGAAATGTCTTCCTGTTGTCCAAGTCCCCACTTGCCCCAGGCGCAAAAACGATGCTGAGGGCCCGACTTTTCAGTTCCGGGGGCAACAGCATCGGGGATGCGTTCACAGGACTTCTCCTTCAGCTCCGAAGCGACCTTTCTGGCAGTTTCCAGCAAGTATTCGCACAGGTTTTCGGGGTGATCCCTCAGCGTTCGTTCGCGGAGTTCATCAAAGAATTTGTCCACGTCCTGGTGAAAGCGGCAGTGGTTTTCAGGTGCGCTCATTTGTCGTGACGGGTCTTCTGGATTCAGTGCCTGCGCAGAACCGAAGGGTGAAGCTTTGGAGTGAAATGAAGCAGGCCACAATACGGGTAGCGGTCTGTCCTTCTTCCTCACTCCAGCGGCGGTCTTTGATCAAAGATGAACAAAGCTGGCTCAAAGGATGTCACACAACTTCGCTTTGCTTGAATCTTCCCATGAAAAAAAGACAGAGGGGGGAAGAGGGACAAGGGCTCATTCGCATCAATAAACCCTACGGAGGGGAGGGGGGGCGCAGGGAACGTCCCCCATTAACTTTTGCTCCGGCACCGAGGCATCGCCCTGCCGAAGTTGGAAAACTGACCCAAAACACACACAAGTACTGTTCCGCCCACACAAGCCAACACTTATTTGCATAAAAAAAACTCGTGCCCTTTTGGCGGGTGTTGGTTTTCACCTGTATTACCGTTCTGATTCCCATCTTTGCCAAGACCCAGGTAAAAGGAGTGGAATAATAAGCATACGGACGCCGCAAATCTTTCAGTATTGGACCCAGCGCCTCGTGGAAGCTTCTTCTCCCACATCGTAGGCGGCACCCATGATGGCGGGAAACTCAAAAAACTTGTTTTTTTCATCAGAGGTCATTGGAACAACGGCGGGAATTTTTCATTTATAACTTTTGTGCCTGCACCGCCCGTTCATCTCCTTTCCCGCCAGCAAGTACAAATTAGCCCCGTAAAGCTCGAAGGTGAGACTCCAACATACCAGCCATTCCACACATACACACAGAGAGGGAGGGAGGGGGAAAAAAAAACGTTCAGCGTCCTGGAAATAAAGAAAAAACGGAAACCAGGTATAAAATAACAGTAATTAGAAATTCCACATCGGTGTCGAATCGTCCTTGTGCATAAGAAGACACGCAAGTATATGCACGTATGAGCTTGCCTATTTCTCCTCCGCCGGGAGAGACTTTAGGTTCTTGGTGCCAACCTCAAGCAACTTTTGATAGGCTTTGCTGAAGGCTTTGCAAAAGACATCATTATCATCCGCGTACTTTTTCGCGATGGAGCGGTACTTGTCGTCAAGGAGAAGAGCCACATCTGCAGGCAACATCATAATACGCTTGGTGTTTCTGTCCATGAACTGCATTTTCTTCACATCGGGGTTCAATACCCACTCGTTGCCGAGGAGTTCCGTAAAAAAAGAGTTATCAAAGCCGTACTTGTCGTGTGTCCATGGACCCACATAGCCAGTGTTCCTCAAGTGGCACTCGCCACAGGTGTGAGCTCCGATCAAAGCAACAGCCTCCTCATCACTGAAGCCAAGACGTGAAAAGATATCCCGCACATGATCCTGTGTTTTGGATGGATCAGGAAGACGTCCATCGGGGCCACAGACGCTGCCGTCCTTGGCATCCACGCGTCCCCACCGCCACGGAACCTTCGGACCGCCCATCGCCTCAATCGAGACCACCGCGGCAAAGGACCACAAGTCGGCGTACGAAATGTTCGGGTACTTTTCCTTAAGCGGCTCCAGCGCATCTCGTCCTTTATCAAGCCCCTTGTTGTCGGCATAATCGCACTCCGGGTGGAAACGCATCGAGGCGGAGTTGGGGCTCCCATCTTTTTTCCGGCAGTCCCATGATGCAGCCTCGTGCCATGCAAGTCGCACGAAGAGAGGCCCCTTGGACATGCGGCTGGAGAGCATGTCTTCAATGTCCTTTTTTAACGCCTTTACATCAAACGGTGGTGCCTCAGTTACATTTTCGTTTGAAGGGTGGAGTGAAGCCGCAGTGGCACCTCCCGAATGCATTGTGCACGCAGCGCCGGCAAAAACCTTAGGCAAGAGAACAAAAGAGCCACGAGTAGAGACGCTTTCAGAGTCAAACTACATTTCATTAAAGCAGAGAGAGCCAGGGCGGAAAATTAACAGGCAAAAAAAATATAATAATAATAATCACCATGCAGAATACGAGGCATGCAAAAAAAAAAACAACAACAACAACAACAGAGAAAAGACGGCAGCAGCAAGCGTCCAAGCAAACAAGAAGCAGTGCAAAGAAAATACTCGGAAGTATATTCGATGCATAATCAGTTATTTTGTCCCTGGCGTACTTGACCCGGCTCCCACGTGTGGCACGCCATCAAGCTGCAGAACTTCACGGCTAGGAAGTGTTGCTCCAAATATTTCCTCCATGGTGCTCGTATTCTCCTGACTAAGACGCGGCACTGACCGTTGGCGCTGACTTGAGCATTGCAGAGTAGGCGTGCTGTACGCCCACGACCGCGTAGCGTGGTGAAACGTCTGAGGTCTTCCAGAAAAGATTCCCAGGGTTCCAGAGGACTTTTCTTCATCAAGCAAGCTTGGACCCGCCTCCGGATTTTTTTGTCCGCCCACCGCCGAGAGCGCCGGTGAGGGTTCAGGATTCAGACCAGAAGCGTTAGTGACACGTTGTCGCTTGCACCCGAATGAAGGTGCGCTAAAGGTAGAAAGAATTCGTTTTGACGTGTCTCGCGCCGTCTCACCGTACTCCTGTAACGCCATCATGTTTTTGTAGTCCTTCGCACTCATCGCATCCGTGTCACCGCTCCCCCAGAATTCCTTATGCGTAGCGATAATGTTCATAACGACATCGGTATTGATAAAAATTGGCGGTTCTCCATCTGCCCAACCTTTCCAGATGTCTATCAGTGCCTTCTGAAGGGACGGAGGACAGGGATGTGGCTCTGGAGCTACTTCAATGTCGTTGGATCCCACCTTGAGGGGAATAATCATCCCACAGCCTTTGTTACCCGGTCTGTTGTAGATAGAAAAACGTGACCCTTGAAGCACATACGCAGCTAGCAAAGCAAAGCCTCGAGCGCTGCTATCAATATGATCGAGCGGTGACAGTTTCCCCAAAACCACCTGTTGCGACGAATGGGCCAGTAGTGTGGAGGTAATGCCATCATCCTCTCCCTTGTCCACCAGGTAGGAAAGATTTGCCAACTGATCCAGCCTTACCATGTTCCCCGTGTCTGACGTAGGGGAAGACGTCAAAGAAGAAGATGGAGTCACATATACCCTGAGTGTGCACTGTCGTCGAAGAAACTGCAGAAATGGTACCACACAGCTAAAATATGCTTGGTACTGTTCCCGCTGCAAATTGGACGGTGGAGGACGTTCAAGTGTCCTCGCTCGCTGCAGAACTCGACGCAATTTTTGAACAATCAAACTGTTTCCACCGTTGTTACCTGAAGTATTCACCTTATTACTGCTTGCGGGCATTGCATCAGTGGTGATGACAATGAGGGCGAGATTAAGTAGTGGATTATGTTGTGCGTCGTACTTAAGCGTCTCGCCGCAGGACCAAGAAAACATTTTCGGCGAAGCGCAGTGTGACTGAAAATGGTTACCGGCAACCGCAGCACTTAGAGTAGACTTCTCCCCTGCGGCAGAATTGCCCAGGAACCTGGCGGTTTGCGAATTCACACGTGAAAAGGGACCCCGCTCCCCTGCATGCCTAGATTGCCCGCTTGATTTGTCAGGTGAAACGCCTAGACACACCGTGCCGCAATGAGTATCCGCGTCATTCAACATGGGATGCGGCTGAGTGGCGGCAGGGAAATTAATGAGGCTACGCGTCGGACTTGGAGATACAAATGGCGTGGCGGACAACGAACTACGCCGCAACGGCTCTCCCTTCCCCACGTCGGTGACCAGCACCAGCCGTGACACTCGCATTGGACGACACAACGTCAGTGCCTTCCAGATAACCCTCAAAGGCAATCGGCGCCTCCATATTTTACGCAGATGAGACGGAGGCACCCGCAGCGTCAGAGGATGAATCAGAAAGGCAGCCAAGATGAAAAGCAGAAATAACGTCTCCACGGAAAAAACAAGTGAGGCAACCAACGTTGTCACCAAACACGGCAGCAGCCATCGCCTGGCACGACGCATGCGACTAAAAACAAAAACCAGCTCAAAGTAGCAATCCGCTTGGAGGCCCTGCGAAAAGAAAAGCCGCGCACGCACCATACCGTTGATAATGTGATTCTGGCATCCGTACAACACCGCCTGAAAGTCATCGCCTCGATCCACCAAAGGAAACACCGCATCCATAGTTGGATTTACATGGGAAGGCATTCGATAAAACAGAACAGTCGTGCGTAGTATCAAAATCGCCTCCACAACGAGGCAAAGTATTAGCCCAATCTCCACCACGTCAGTAATAAACACAAACAATACAATGCAAAGAAGCAGAAGCGTCCTCGCGGTGTGCCGCCACGATACAGCATCGTTCAAGCAGAGCACGGTGTGAATCAACACCATGTACGGCACAAGCACAAAGTGAACCGCCGAGGAACTCATTTGTTGCCGCAGTTCGGCAAGTTTTTCCACACCCCAATCCGTTTCAGCAACATCATGCGAGCCAATTCCTGCATTCACGGCGTGCGTGGCAGCGGAGAGCCCACCAGTGTTCCTACGTGCAGGAAAAAGCAACGTTGGTAGCGATTTTTGGCCAAAAACGATACTGGATGTCTGTACTGTCAACACAGCGCTTCCTCCAACATCCTCCCCAAACATACCTTTTGTGGCAACAGTATTGAGATTAAGGGCTTCCACCGCTGAAATCATGCTCTGCTTAGGCTGAAGTGTCACACTGACACCGCCGTTCGAAATGAGAAGCTCTCGCATGCCGAGCTTTGCCACGCCAAGGCAAAGGCTGCTCTCCTGCAAACGGAGAAAAGCGGGATATGTGGCTTTAATCGACGCCAATTCTTCTCTACCAAACTCCGGTGCAAGTTGTATGAGGCGTATTTTTACATAACGTTCAGCAACAAAGAAGGGGAGCGAGGCAACAATGGCCTCTCCAATACAGCTAAAGTATCGCTTTGTGCGAATCTCGCTCGCGTCCCAGTTCGTTTTTACTTGCTTTTCATGCTGCTGACGTTCAACGCTTCCACGAAATACAGAACTTTCAATGCAGACAAGGTTTTCAAAGACCAGTTGTAGCTTTACATAAGGATGAAATTTCCTTCCCGTGCAATTGCCCCCTTCTGGTAGTTGGACAAGCGTCCGCTTCGCTTCTACTTCTTGCTGAGAGCGATCGTTCAATTGGTGCATGCGAATAAAGCTCTCGGCGTCAAAGGCGCACATGCCTTCAATGCAGGAAATGCGGAACTCCACATGCATTGGTATGAATGAAACTCACACTGTTGGAATTTACTATTCAACTCTTCTGACTTCTATATTGATTCCCATGACCCAAAATCCACGCAAATACCCAGAAGACGTAAAACAAGAAAAAAGAAAAAGAAAAAAAGGCATGTAATTTCTCATACAAACATTCACTGGTTTTTCTGTCCATAACATTGGGGAAAAAATAACATAAACGCATGCTACAAGATCGCTTTATTTTCAGGCAGCAGTGGCAAGATATATATATATATATATCAAGGGAAATAGTTGTCAGAATAGCCTCTCCCAGTATAGTAACACGACTCACGCCCCGGCAGGCCAAAAATAACGGAGTCAACACCGCAAGATCCATCAGCCTTCCAATTGCGCGCATCAACATCTAGGAAAGGTTCCTCGGCTTCTTCACTAGAGGACCAGGAGGAAGTTGAAAGAGCCTCTATAAGATGTTGTACCGCGTCGTCCTTACAGATTGAGGTCGTTATGGTCTTGCTCAGGGACGCTAGCGGTTGCCTTCCCTCACCCATTGGGAGAAGCTCGCTTCTTGTTGAGGCAGCTACCATAGCAGAGTCAGGCAGGGCGTCCGGCCGAGGCGACGGAGAGAGTAATTTCTGTTGCCTTTTGCCAGTGACGAGCCAATCACTTTCCATCACCTGGTAGGGGTGGTGATACTGCTGCTGCCAATGCTTCTCTTCGCCCCCGTGCTGCACTGTTCTGACGCACAATCGCGTGGACGCCAGCCAACACGAACTCGGAGCCCCAGCATTGTCTGTATTCCCCATCCACCCCTACAACACAGAAAGGAAAAAGAAACACATGCAGAGACCAACAATAACAACAGCAACAGCAACAACAACTAGAAAAAAAAAAAGAAGAAGAGAGATAGATTAAACGGCATCCCCTACATTCCTTTCCTTTCCTTTGTTTTCACACCGGCTGATGAAGAAAAGGCACCATCGTCGTGGCCCTGTATTAGCTCGTTATTTAAGT